TTAATCCCCTTCCACACCTTGCATTTGCACCTGGATTTCTCCCTTTCCGACTTTCACAACTAGATTTTCGGTAAAACTTCCTGAATCAACCTTGAGCAGCTATTTGATCACCTTCCACGTAGACCAGTTGATTTTTGTTTAACGATAAAGCAAGGCAAGGTCCCTAACTTTACCCCGTTCTGATTTTTTTCTCCACTTGCAGAGGTGGCACACATCGCCAGCAACAACAACCAGAACCAAAGCAAAGAATCCCAAGAAAGAGATCCGAGGGATACAGGAATCTTTGGGTGCTTTGCCAAGAAGGACGAGCAGCAGCATAATCCAACAAAGAAACAATCAGAACCCAGAGACAGTTCCAGCTCGGGCAGCTATAAAGTCCAGCAAAAGGAGCAAGAACAACAGAGGGCATCGGAGAACGAGCATCCATCCGTTTACCGCCAGCAGGACGAGGAGTTTCATCCGATAAAAAAGGAGGAGCCCCAGAAAACCCCACCAATATCCAAGCAACCCCGTCCGCGGAATACCCCAAGATCGCAAAGTCAGCCGGCTATAAACAACCGACGACGTCCAGGAACCCCGCCACCACACACAGTCGCAGCTGGAAACGGAACCGCAAGCAGGAGCATGACCTCCATTCCCGCCAATCTGTCTAGCAATAATGTTGCTGGAGCAGCAACCTTGCCAGGAGCTGCGGCACCGCCAGAGAAACAGCCGTGGCCCAACTCCAAAGACGATTACGAGCTGAGGGACGTCATTGGTGTGGGTGCCACAGCCGTTGTCCATGGGGCTTTCTGTATTCCAAGGAACGAGAAGTGCGCCATTAAGCGCATCAACCTGGAGAAGTGGAACACATCGATGGATGAGCTGCTCAAGGAGATTCAGGCCATGTCCTCGTGTTTTCATGAGAACGTAGTGACCTATCACACCTCATTTGTGGTGAGGGAAGAGCTCTGGTTGGTGCTGAGACTCTTGGAAGGCGGTTCTCTGCTGGACATCATCAAGCACAAGATGAGAACGTCCAATTGCAAACAGGGTGTCTTCGATGAAGCCACCATTGCCACGGTACTGAAGGAAGTCCTGAAGGGATTGGAGTATTTCCACTCAAACGGGCAAATCCATCGAGATATCAAGGCAGGCAACATTTTGATTGGTGACGACGGTACCATCCAAATCGCTGACTTCGGAGTGAGTGCATGGCTGGCTACTGGCAGGGATTTGTCCAGGCAGAAAGTGCGCCACACCTTTGTGGGCACACCCTGTTGGATGGCTCCCGAGGTAATGGAGCAAGATCATGGTTACGACTTTAAGGCGGACATTTGGTCCTTTGGAATAACGGCGATTGAAATGGCCACGGGCACAGCACCCTACCATAAATACCCGCCCATGAAGGTGCTAATGCTGACCCTGCAGAACGACCCGCCCACCTTGGACACGGGTGCGGACGATAAGGATCAGTACAAGGCTTATGGCAAGACATTCCGCAAAATGATCGTCGAGTGCTTGCAAAAGGAGCCATCGAAACGTCCCACGGCTAGTGAGCTTTTGAAGCACGCCTTCTTCAAGAAGGCCAAGGACCGCAAGTATCTCACCCAGACGCTGCTGCAATCCGGGCCCAGTATGGAGACCAGGGTTCACAAGGCGGCGAAACGGCAGCCAGGAGCTTCGGGTCGTTTGCACCGCACGGTGACAGGCGAATGGGTTTGGTCCAGCGAAGAGGAGGACAATGGTGGTTCTGCCGCCGGCTCTGGATCAGGAGGCAGAAAACACCCTTCTTCGGACTCGGATTCCGAAGATAGACCCATGAACCGATTGGAAAGAGCCGACTCCTCGGACAGCGACCGAGAAGAGCCTTCTCCCGAAATAACGCATAGTGTTTCCTCAGCCACAGTAACACCGGGAGCTCCAGTTGGTGCTGCTGCTGCCCAAGAGGTAACAGCTGGCATCGCTCAATTACCACTTCCTAGCGAAGCAGCCGGCGAAGCGCCACCAGTCAATCTTGTCCTGCGCATGCGCAACTTGCGACGTGAGCTTCACGACATTCGCTTTGAGTTCGTAGTGGGAAAGGATACAGCCGAGGGCATCGCTACAGAACTGGTAGATGCAGGTCTCGTTGATGCGCTGGATACCCAACCGATGGCAACGCATCTGGATCAACTGATAGCTGCCAGTGCTACGATGAAAACGATTACTTTCCAATTGAGCTCCGGCGTGCAGCCGGGCGAAGTGCCCGACGAACGATCGCTGGTGGGATATGCGCAGATCTCCATCACAGACTAGTGATCTGCCACGGAGCATGCATCACAGCCAACCCAACCCATCACAAGAGCATCCGAAACACCAACACATAGCACCATCCCCAGAAAACCAAGCCAGTCTGATGATACGTAAGGCCAGGAGGGTTCGGGATCTGGATTTCCCGACTGGAGCCGTTTCTGTTTGCTGCTTTTAGCACTAGACTAGAACTAACCGTAAATGCTAGTGATAGATCTTAACGCGAGCCGATCGTTTACCATATAGAGAAACTATCTATACACACGTATATATGTTAAATAGGGAGGGTCGATTTTGGTTGAATAAGATGGGGCGTGAAAAATTAGGTCTTCATGATTTGTACCTATTGGTATTAAGTGGTAGTCAAGTGTTTGATATATTTACTATTCAGCTTAGACATTTTTCATTTGAAAGCTATTGGATCTGAATTATACAACAAGTTTAAGTACTTCAAATTGTTCTTTGGATTCGATTTATCCAACCCTAGAAATCGGCCCGCCTTAGAGTTTTATATATGCCTTACGTACTATATAAATCCTATGCGCATTGTAATTATCCATGTGCCCCGACCCGTTTTTCCTCGCCCCGCTAAAGTAATTGAAGAATCGTGTACTTATTCGTTTCGTTTGTCTTTAAGTAGCTCTGTACATACACCACACGTATATATATATATGTATAAATATATACATACATGTATATATATAGCTCTTGGTTTTAATTAGCCCACTGAAATCAGTAGATCCTGATGTAGTCCTGCCTTTATTTATCATTTACCAACCGCTCCCCCGCCAGGCGTCTTTAATTTATTCTCTAGCAATTTAAACTACTAATTTTTAAATCCTAGCGCCTAAGTCTTGTTTTTGTTTTACTCTTATTATTTTGTATTTTATTTTACCATAATTACCACTACTCTGTATACCTACTGTATGAGTTTTCCGATAAGATCGCAAAGGATGTAAACTTAAGTGAGGCCAGAGGAAGATACTGGAGAGAGAACAGGAGAGTAGAAATTATGATTCAAGCTCTGTAACTACCTTGAAGTAAATCGTAAATCAATTACTTTAAAAATGAATAATATTAAACCTCGTATAGTTAAAGAAAAATTGCAAAAAAATAGAAACGAAGAAGGAATTTATTTTGTGTTTTTATTGGCCAGTTTGCAATGCAATGGGATTGCGTTTGTTTCGTTTGGTTTTGGGATTCCAGTTGGAAAAGCAAAATTTATTTTTTGCAATTTTTATTAAAATTGTATCTAATAAAATTTAATTTTATTTAAATTGAATTGTAATAAGTGTGAACAAGTTTAGAGGTGTATATGTATTTATTCGCCTATATTGGATTTTCAAGAATTTTTCAAGTAACCCTTCAGCAAATATTCATCTTTATGAAGCTCAAAAGATAAAACAAAATAATATATTCTTACAGCTTGAAAACGAATAAGCAATCGTTGGGAGCAATGATTAGCTCTTACTAATAAGTACAGTAAACCATTGATTGGGTGGACTTTGCCTAAGCTCACGTAATAAAGAAGCCAGTGTATGCCTGTAATTTTAGACTTTTTAAAGAGCATTGCTGGGCTACCAGCCACTAAGCGAAGAATTGTAGTCCTACAAAAACACGATACTTGCTAGCGTTTTAAATGCAAAGACCTCTTAGATACTTAGCAATAAAGTTGCTGCAACAAATTTAATTGAATGGAGTTTTATCCCAGATAGACTGTTATCAATTGTATACGAGAAACTCGAATAAAATCACATTTGGCTCCCAATTACCCGGGTGTGGTTCTCATATTTATATGTTTACAAGGAATATTTGTAAGCTTCCACAAAATAATCAAGTCGAAACTCGAAAATGTATAGGACTAGGATCTGGGGTTTTTACCATCAAGCTATCAACTACGACGTTCTGCTAAAACAATTTCAGCCATGTCGGACTACTTCGAGGAACTGGGCCATGAACCCACTGGACCACAGGGTGCAAACGATTTGGCCAGAAACCTCAAACGTCTCCAGGTCTTGGCCATCATGAATGGCATCGATATGGAGATCGAGGTGCCCGAGGCCTCCAGGCGAGCCATTCTGGAGCTTCCTGTCCATGAAATCCTGAAAGCGGAAGAGGACGGAGATTTGGAGTGCTCCGTTTGCAAGGAGCCTGCCGAGGAGGGCCAGAAGTACAGGATCCTTCCATGCAAGCACGAGTTCCACGAGGAGTGCATCCTGCTCTGGCTGAAGAAGGTACCTATTTCATCAAAATACATTCTACATTTAAAAATGTCCTTATTGCCTGTCTCCTACCTTACAACTTGCAGACGAACTCCTGTCCCTTGTGTCGCTATGAACTGGAAACTGATGATCCTGTTTACGAGGAGTTGCGCCGGTTTCGGCAGGATGAAGCTAACCGACGGGAGCGGGAGAACACTATTATGGATTCCATGTTCGGTTAATTTGGGGTTTCGATTGGAGCATTTGTAGTTTGAATATTTGCACAGCGGTATTTGGTTAAATTTGTAGTATGCTTAAATAAAGGGTGCTTACGGGAGAAAATACTTTTATTGGCTCATCTTTTCATTATGCAAAAGTAAGTATACTATCTAATTCAACAGCTTTTTCAACGATATATTCGAATATTCTTTAAAAAAACATTTTTGAACTATTCACAATCGCTACTGGTCCCACTTTTACTGAGATGTACCCAGTGGAGCTAACTGTTCCCATTTTTGATAACATGGCAGAGTATTCGATATTTCCCGTAGCAAGCTTATCGATACTGGCGTCGACGACTTGCCATCACCATCTGTCTCTTCCTTTTTGGCGGCGTGATTGGAAGAATATTTTTCGTTTAACAACTTGGACTTATTTTGTAGTTAAATAAAAGTGTAGTCGTAAAAATAAAGTGTTTTCCGGCGGATCGTGCTGAGTTTTGATCAAAATGATTGCCGACGACAGCGGAATAAGGCACTTCGATCGCAAGTTTGTGGCGTCCCATCTGCAGAATCTTCTGCGCTGCCCAAAATGTACAAACTGTTTTACTTACTCGTTCAATAAGAACCAAGGAGAAGGTGAGTGCTCTACTTTATGGCATAGCGATTTCGCCAATTTAGTTGGCTTTCTTAATTCATAACTTTTTATACCGTGGGGCTGAAAACGCTACGTTTTTGCAAATGCTCCGTCTCTCAATGAACAGTGTTGCCAGCATGAAAAGCTGGACAAGTTCAGTCAGGAAGAATAGAAAAGAATAAGAGAAGAAAGTAAAGAAGAATAGTAAAAAACATATATTGAAGTGGTGGTGGCAGCTTAAAATCTTTCTTGTTATTACATTGAAGTATTTATTCTTTCATTGAAATTATTAAAGAAAACAGAAGCCAAAGTCAAGTCTGCATCACCGTTTCGTTTTGGAGGTACTCAAATTACTGCAGAAGTTTTTCAGTTCTCTTTGACATGTTCTTCTAAACAGTCGTACAATAAGTTCACAAATGGTACGTACATACATACATACATAAGCACATGTTTATGAATACATACATAAGCACATGCTTATGAATGTTTTTGTGTAGGTGGTAAAAACGCTGAAGTTACTATGCGTTGACAAATTGACAAATACACATGCATATATGTATACATACACAAGTACATGTTTATGAATGTTTTTGTTTAGCTAATAAAAAACCCTTTTTACACTTATTCGTGAATCATGGACCAATTTCTATGAAATCTAGTGATGATTTTAATACTGGTACTTTATAGGGATTCAACGATGTGATAACCCATCACAGAAGCTGCAAAAAATCGTTACTATTTGAGGTAGATAAACACTGCTGTTTTATTTATGTTCACTTTTATTAGCAAATCATTACCAAATGCATGCCCTTTCCACTTTTTAATCGGAAAATCTTCAGCAAGACATTCTGCCGAATGTAGTGTAATTTTCATTAATTTTTTTAAGAAGCCTTATCCGCTGTTACGGATTTTGTGGTGTTATTGAATTGTAGAAATGCTGGGAACATATGTATGTATGTATGTACGTATATGAAGGTACACTGAAAGTATGGAATTTTCCATACTACAAATACTACTTTTATGATCGCCTAAAAAACGAAAGCTAATTGCAAATTACATATCCTCGTGCAAATATGTCCAAAAATTAGATTTATCGCGTGGGACAAATTTATTAAATGTAAGATCCAAGTTAATATTAAAAATCTCGTGTTTTGGGAGTACCGATTTTGGAAGACAATTTGACAAACCCATACTTAAAATATGCTCTTAACCAACAGAAAGTTATCGTCCCTTTCTACTGGCATGTGGTCATAGTCTCTGCGAGAGCTGCTTGTGGAGCGATCGGCGGGATCCGAAGTGCGCCGTGTGCCAGTGTCCTGCTCCTCCCACGATCATGGCCAGGAGTCCGGCCAGCAAGTCGTCCGCCAATATGCGCGACTACTACGAACTGAACTACCACGTGCTTGGTGAGACCAGCAGCCTCAGTTGCTTCCGCCGATTCGCCACGGACTCAGCAAACCAATCGCTGAGCCTCAGCTCGATCAGCAAGGAGATTGTCCAGTCCGCCAAGTGCAGCGAGTGCGGAAATGCCATTGCCAGCGGAGAGTGCAGGCGGTGCAATGCCTTCTACTGCCGCCGTTGCTTCGATGCCGTCCACAATCACAGTCGCGTGCTAAAGTCGCACGTTTTCCACAAGTCAACGGATCTGGGCACTATCTCCAGCAAGGGACTGCAAGTGGGCGATCAGTACTTCACATTGCCGGGTCAGAACCTTTGCTTTCAGCACCGAATGCTGAAAGACAAGTACTGTGTGCAGTGCCACCGATCCCACTGCCGAAGTTGCTCCAACATATATCATGGCGGGCACCGCATACGGCCGCTGGTCGAGATTGTTAGTAAAATTCTTGCACTATTGTCATTCCTCTCTTGTGTATATTTGCTTATTTCAATGTTGTTCACTCGATTTCAAAGATTTAATTACGCGAGTTTCGAAACCTGCCGCGTCAATGGCTAGAATACAAACTTACAAGCTTCAGAAATCATGATTAACATGTATCCTTAAATCCTGTAATTTGTGCACTACCATTGGCAGTCCCAATTTTAAATAACTCATGTAATCCAATGTTTAATAAGATACATTATATCTGCTAAATCAAATTTATGAAACCCTAATCTTATTGCTTCTATTCGGATTTCCTCCACAGAATCAGCGCTATGCTTCCGAGATTCCAACATCTTTAAACTCACTCAACTCGGCCCTTTTAAATATCGTGAATGGCAAGGAGGTGAGTGCCAAGATCTTTTTACTTACTAGTCAGATTTTATTTCACTATAGCTATAGGTATGTATACAGTTGCATTTACAGCTAGCTATTTACAGTACTTGCTCGCTAAGAATAATTTAGGGATTGTACAACCAACTCGCAAACGAATTTCTCATTACAAATATGGCAAGCTATTCATCCTCTCCACGGAACGCTCATTTGCTACTGCTCTTGATGGGCATCAGTTGTCCGGTGTTTCCATCGGTTTTGATCTCGATTACCTCCAGCTTTTCCACGCTTACCTTTGTGGATTCTCGAGTTTTATTCTCAACTTCCTTGGTTTCCCTAAGACTTTGCAGATGATCCTCCTCTTCACTGCTGCCTGGAGCTGTTGGCTCCACTTCGAAGTCAATCTCTGGCAGCGGCTGTGGAGTGGAGGAGACAACGATTGGCTTAAGGACAAAGGACTGTGTGTCCTGTGTGCTCGTGGGCGCCATTATAGTTGTGGGTGCGGTTTGGTCGTACGTATCGTAGGTCCCACGCTCCGAAATATCATCTATCTCATCGTCGATAAGCAAGTTTTTCTCAGAGCTTTGCTCATAAACCTGGGCATTTATTCCGCTACCATGTTTGGGTTCTGGTTTGTGATTTTTGGGCAGAGCAGGTAGAGTAGATGGTGCTTCCTCGGGTTTCTGCGCCTGTTGGGACGCCTTGCGTTGTTTCTCCTGGCGCATCTTTTCCTCCATTTCCTGGTATTTCATGGCCAGATACCTTGAATAAAGGGCACATTTATTAATGACTACTTTCGAATCTTTATGGTGTCTTACTTATCCACAATAGGTCCATTGTAGTCCTCGGGGAACTTTGAATTGAAAGGCAGAATGTACTTGTAAAGTCGCTCGTTCAGCACATATAGTTGCGCGGTTGTTGAACATTTGACATTAAACCACCAGTCGCAGGTTAAAGCAATCTGTTTATATATATATTTTGTTTCATTTTGAACACGCGTGTATAAAAATTAGGGTTTCCAGTTTACCTGACTAAATATGGTTCCATTGGGGCAAAGGAACGAGGCTTTTCCTCCGTTAAGATCACAGTAATGCCAGACTTGGCAGTTGGTTTCCGGATCTCCAAAGAATCCCTTGTAGCGTTGCTTGGTGCACTCAAAGCTGGTTTGAGGGATCTCCGCATAGTTGGGATAATCGATGCCAGGTCTTCCAGTGCTTGGTCCAGGGTGTTTATCTATTCGAATGTAAATTAATTAAGGGAACATATTGATGTAAAGGCTACCCACTTGGTCCCTTGGGTCTGGCAACCGCCTCCTCTGATTGGGAATGGTGTTCCTCTTCGCTGCCCGTATTGTAATCATAATCCTGGGAACTGGACTTGTGCTCCTCATGATGCTGCGGAGGATTAGCCACAATGGTTTGGGTTTGCTTTAGATTCTGAAGTATGCGGATCAGTGTTTTGATGGAGTTGTCGATGTTGTCGGGTGTTAAGGTTTGCGGAAGATGATTGCTCGCTTGAAGCTTGTGAAGAATTTCGGCCAGCGATGAGGTGCGAATATCTGGTAGTTGATCCTGATCCTCTGGTACGTATGCAGGCGTTAATGGAGGGCGCTCATGGGCGTATTTGTAAACGGGCTTAAGTTTAATAGGCGTTACCGTAGATGGTTCTCTAAGCGGTAACTCTGGGTGGTGGGCAGTAGGAGGCTTCCCGGAAACGTAAACATACTTCGGCGTAATCTCTACCGTGTGACTTGAAGTGGGCGACACCGCGGGCGAGGGTGTGGTCACGTAAATGGGACGCCTGGTGGCCTTGTAAGTATGGACTGGCTGCAAGCGAAGTGTGGGCTGTTGGTTATACAGAATCGGGGGACGCGGTGTGGAAATCTCAGGGTGCATTTGTGGTGCAGGCTGATGCTCGATATGTGGAGCTGTCGTGGTCACCAGAATGTAGGCGTGCTGTGGCGGCTGATGAGCCGATGGACGCTCATGCTGGGAGTGCTGTTGCTCTTCCTCCAGCGATTGTCTTGGCCCATCTATTAGGTAGTCAATAAACTGCGGTGGTGCTGGGGAACTAAAAGTAATGTTCAGATCTAAAGTAAGCGCTTTTGGACAGCTAAATGACAACAGCATATTCAATTGTTACTAAGAGATGCTCAGTTTTTTACGGATCTTGTTAGCTTTGTGTGCCTATTGATGAGTATTCTGGATAATGGGGGTATTTAGTAGAATATGGTTTGACTATGTAATTCCCTATCAAATTAGGAGCTTCTGCTCCTTCTCTAAGATTCTTGCTCCTCCTTCCGAGCGAAAGACTTACCCAAGCGGCTCATCCTTGGCGAAATCGTGGCGCGGCGACTGTGCCTGCGACTCTGCTTGTAATTGTGACTGGGAGTGCGACTGCTCTTGGACGTGGGCCATGAGTGCGCGCAGCGGGATGTGCAGCACCTGTTGGCCAGCAGTCGCATCCGGTCTTACGTAGAGGGAGTCGTACTTGTTCGGGTGATGGGGCTTGGTCTGGGTATGATGCGGGTGCAGATGGGTGTGTTGTGGATGGTGGCTACCAGCCAATGTATTGCTTTGTGCCGGCACCACCGGATGTGAAAAGTCGTAATGCTGCTGCTGCTGCTGCTGCAGATGCTGATGTTGCTGATGTTTTTGGTGTTTCATGCGCTGCTGTAAGTAAAGCACATATTTCTCCTGCGGCGTCATGTGCGGAGTATGCTGCTGGTGAGGATGATGACCAACACTAGTCGAGGGCGGGGCCATATTGAAGTAGCTTTCGTATTTACTAACGTGCCCGAAATGCGGTGATTTCTGGTGTATTATCAATGCGTTTTTGGAGGATGTGGTGGCGGTAACTGCGCTCGAATCGGGAACCGACACAGAAGCGTAGCCGATGCTGTTGGAGGTTAATCATGCAAAGCGGTTATGGTTTCGGTTTCAAGCAGAAATGTCATGGGAGTTCATTATGAACTTTCTGTACTATGTTATACGTAAGCTGAATTCCAAGGAGTTATAGTATGAATTCCTGAATGAATTTTAATCCCTGATACTATTATCTAAATAAATTGTTGAAAGAGTAACTTAATCAGCGATTTAAGTCGAAAAACAAAAGTGTGCATCGAAATGCGTTCAACTAAAGTGTGGTGTTGTAAAAATCTTCGCTGATTGGCATGTATTTCCATGTTCCATCCCATTCTCTGATAACCATTGTACGACAGATTTTTGACCTGAGCCCGCTGGCTACCTATGACATGAATATGCAATTTGACAATTACTACATGAGCATGTGGAGAGGAACACGAGACACTGGCCAGGTCGAGTCTCCCCAAACCACCTTTGCCCACTGGCTGCGCCTCTTGCTGTACAACGAACGGCAATTGGAGTCGCTATGGCTGTCGTCATGGGTCTTACGTCACCTCTGGAGTTGCAAAGATGGTGACTATGTGGAAGACCGGATTCAGAGTAGGAGAAGAGCGGACGTGGCCTGAGTCGGAGCCGGACACTGGAGTGGACTGGGCTGGTGCATGAAATGCAATTGATTTTTCTGCCCAAGGGCATTGCGCTGCAGCAGTATCCGTCTCAGACGGAATCCCAATTGCATGTGCTTTAAACAGAAGCATATTAAAGTCTTTGTTGCATATTTGAATTTTAAACGGGTGCACATAAACAGAGTACAATTATTGACCTATTTGGGTGATGATACAATAGTTTAGCAATCTCTCGTAACTGAGTTAATTAAATTGGTGTGTCTTACAAGTAATTTGTAAAGTCTGATGTACCATTTACTTTTAGGACCAATTAAAAGTCTGTTGTGTAATGTTGTTAATAATGTATAGATGACGTGAAACTGCTTTAAAGACAGCCGTAGTGGCAACATTTTTAATTGTATTCTACATGCGATATTGCAACTGCATCACGATACATAAGTGGGCGTGGCTGTGAGAACTGCCTATCAAGCAGACGGTTTGTGATTCCATGGGATCAGAGCTCGATCTGCCTTACTTTTTGGGCTCTTGGGCTTTTTTCTGCTTGGGTATGAGAGGCACAAGTGACAAGAAGTCTTACCTTGGATTGTTTTGCACTTGCTGGTGCTGCTGCGGCTGTTGCTCCTCCAACGCCTCCTCCTGGGCTCCATGGTCCTCCTGCTCCAGCACCTTCTCGCCCTTCTCCTCCTCGCCAGATGAGGATGGTGACGATGGCTGTTCGGCGGAGGCGGAGGCAGCAGCTCCGGCTGCATAATCCGTAACGATTTGTGCTTGATGGGAATTTTTATAGACAATTTCTGGCTGCTTCAGGTTGCTTTGGATGTTATTGTAATTGATGGCATCGGCGGAGGAGCCCGGCTTGCTGCTCACTGGCGTATAAATAATGGGTATAAACTGTCCCGGCAATGTGTTTTGCGCTGTAAATGGTGTTAAATTGATTTTTGATTGTTTGCCCCGCTGTCGCTGCGACTGGGATGCGACTAAGCTTGGCGATAGGATCTCGAATTGCTGTGGTTGCTGGTGGTGCAGGAGGAGGCGGTGCTGATGCTGCTGCTGCTGCTGCGGCGCTTGCTGTGCATGCTGCTGCTGCACTTGCTCCTTGGGGGACGGCGGTAGCGGCGGAAAATGCTGCACCGTCTTGTGCTGCGTGCGTGTAAATTATGAATTACTTGATTATTTCTGCTTATTTATGGCTCATGAAATCAATTGTAATGAAGAAGATTGGATAGGTATCAAAGTGCTTTTCCAATACCCTCGAAGTTTTATTGCTATACTATACATGCCCTTTGGAAAATACTCTATTCAAATACTTGCCTTATGCGTCGGGTTCAATGGCTTGTACGCAATATACGTGGCACCAGAATTGGTGATCGCCTGCTGCTCCTTGACATGACCAGGTGGCGGATGTGGGGGCGCATGCTGATGCTGGTGGCTTCCAATCGCAAGGGAGTGGAAGACCTCGCCTACGCCCGACTGATAGTGCGACACTGGTGGCGGGTGCGGTGGTCCATGGTGGTGGGGATGGT